CAAACTGTTACCGAATCTTTAATTCTTTTTTTTTAAGTTAATATCTAAAATTATGAGAAGAGGTGATTAAGAAAATAACAAAACATGAAACAAAAGTATAAGATAAAATGAAAATTATGATAAAATATCACATTAAAATTGCTAGTAAGTTTGTGAGGAAACTAGAGAATTATATGATCAAGCTGTGTTCTTGGTTGTTTACATTTACTTCATGAGGAAACTAGAGAGTTATATGGTCAAGCTGTATTCTTGGTTGTTTACATTTACCTTGTGAGGAAACTAGAGAGTTATATGGTCAAGCTGTGTTCTTGGTTGTTTACATTTACCTTGTGAGGAAACTAGAGAGTTATATGATCAAGTTGTGTTCTTGGTTGTTTACATTTACCTCGTTAGGAAACTAGAGAGTTATATGACCAAGCTGTGTTCTTGGTTGTTTACATTTACCTTGTGAGGAAACTAGAGAGTTTCTTCTTTCTTTCTCGTCACCTGCATTTTATTTTAAATTTTTAGTTAGTATTAAAACTTTACATGAAGCTTGATTTTTCCAATAGCAAAAGCTAAATTTCATAAATCAATAACCTAACTTATTTGGTGATCACATCAAAATCCAAGCATTAATTACAAAAATTCACATTTCCCAATGGCAATTTTGTTAACCACACAACAGGCTTAATAGATAATCTTTACTATATTAGATTGTCTTTAAACTTCAAATAAAAATTTTATCTACTGCCAGTCCTTGATAGTATGGGCATTTTCAGTTTTTACAACTTGAAAATCTTTGTATTACAAAATATGCAAATTAAATATATATATATATATATACATGTGTTTTCTCAATATGTTTACCATACTAGAAAATACATAAAGTCAATAATTTAGTTTTAAATGATCTTTATCAAAATATATTGTAATTAGGCATTATAATTTTGGCAACCAATCAGGTTAACATGAAACATATAAACTAATACAACCAATCTCCAAATCTTTAATACTTTCTGAGTCAAATATGTTAATATAAATGATCCAACCACTACCAAAAGTCACACCAGAATTAGTGTGCTAGAGCCATAAGTTACACTATACTAAAAATAAAGTGTCTTCTGTGAATCATTCAACCAATTAAAATGCTATAAATTACTAATAAAAATGATAGATATTTAAAAAAAAATGAATTACTGCCATAAACTAATCTATTTAAGAACAACAGATTAAAGTCACAGAAGTAATTTTAGTATGGTTTGTTAATTATACACGGCTTTTTTTTTTTTTCTTAGCCAACCTATTTCAAAAAAAGATGACTGTCATTGAAGAAATTTTCTGTGTGTTTGTTTGATTGTACAAATAGTTTTTCTTGTTTTTATTCAGTCATTCTTAAATTTGATAATTGTCACAGAAATAATTTTTGTATGGTTGATTTAATTAGAAAAACAACTCAACTTTTTTTTTATATAATCATTTCAAATTTATTCTTTTATACAGTTAACTACACAGTATGGTTAACTGTATCCCTAACTTTTCTTTCTCTCAATTTCAAATTTGATGATTGTCGTTGAAGTAATGTTTCTACAGTGAGCCATAATAAAAACAGCTATATTCTTTCTTATCCAGTTTTATATTTTATAATTGTTACAGAAGTTATCTTGACATCATTGGTTAAATATACAAGCAGCTTATCCTTTTTTTAGTCAATCAGTTAAAATATGACTGCTATAAAAGTAATTACTGTATGCAGAGTCAGCCTTAAGGAGAGTTTGTTTGTTGTGAATTTTGCACAAAGCTACACGAGGGCTATCTGCACCTGCCAATCCTAATTTAGCAGTGAAAGACTGGAGGGAAGGCAGCTAGTCATCACCAACTCTTGAGCTACTCATTTACCAATGAATAATAGGATTGACCATCACATTATAATGTCCCCATGGCTGAATATGTTTGGTAGGACGGGGATTTGTACCTGCGACCCTAAAATGCCCTAACCATATGGCCATGACGAGCCCCTTAAGGAGAGGCAGCTAAATAATTACAGTATGCCTAGTCAGCCTTATGGTAAGGCATAAGTAAAAGCCTGCAGAGATTTTTTTTATAAGTGATTTTTAAAGATTAAATTGCAAGACCCCAAACTGTACAGTTAACAAACATACCACATCACCAGGTTGTACAGCTTCAGTTACATTTTGTTTATTGCCAAATACTATGAAAGATTCCACAGCCAGTATTTGCCTAGGGCCCTACAGTGATTAAGGTCAGCTTTGACTGCATGACTGGTTAATTAATACATATATCTTTCCCTTATCTTTGTGTGTTCTAACAAATTGTTTTACAATGATCCTTGCATATTTTTTCAAACAAATTCAGCTTACAGGTAGACTGGCTATAAATTAGACTAAACACATTGTATTATTATATAAATATTAACTAAGTAAAGACTAGTTATTTGTAACTTCTATAAAATTAAAGATAAGCTTAATTATTTTAGTGTGATGATAAAGTAGTGATAAAATACTGTAATATATTTGATTCTCAAAACATTAGGCTTAACAGTGTTGCCAATAGACTACTGGTATTTAGTGTTTAGTATTTATTCCCAGGCTACAGATGCATTGGTTAAGATTAGTGTAAGAGTTAAGTATTCACAGATTATTAGATGTGATGGGTGCAATTAGTGGCTTTTATCTGGGAACTCGGGACTGGTATATACTTTTAAAGAAGTTAGCAGTGAAGATGTGCAATTTGTTTGTAGAGTTTGGAGATCGGAGAAGAAGTTGGAGGCTATCATAATTAATGTAGAGGCAATAAATAAAGAGAAGTGTAGACTGCAGGAAATGACAGCAAGAGTTTCTTAAGCTTTTACATGAAAGGAATA